AGCCCCTTGCTGCAGCCTCCAGGCTTGGCCTGTTCCTACTGACCCCAGGTGTTTTCTTGTCTCCAGGGCCTTATGCAGAAGGGAATTGAGGGGGTGGAAGGGAAAGGCAGAGGAGAGATGGTGAAGACAAAGGAGAGCCATGGTTGGGGACACTTGGAGCAGGAGGCAGGAGGGCATCCTATCCAGGGTGAGGGGCTCAGCAGCTCGGCCTTTCCAGACTGTCTCAGGGAGCCTGGGCACCCCTCCCCGAGCCTGTCCCAGCCTGGGAGCGCTCTTGGCAGAGGCTGCTTCTGCACTCTCTGGCTTTATCTTCCCGACACATTGAAGCCATCAGGCCCGGCCCAGCCCTCCACCAGCTTTTCCAGAGCAGACCTGCCCTCCAGGCCCTCACTCCAGGCAGGGAGGGCCAAGCCCCTCACTCAGTCAAAGGCTTGATCACCTTCGTCCCCCATTTCCAGCCCCTTCTACTCGCCCCTCACTCCACCAGAGGGGAATTTGTGTCCAGGCTGCCAAAGCAGAGAATCTGGGAGGGGGTCCAGAGCTCGAGCTGCTCCATCAAAGCAGCAAGCACTCTTCAGTGCCTCGTGTTCTAGGGAAGCCAAATCAAAGGCAAACCCTGAATTCTTCTTGCTCACGGCCAATAAAAACCTTGCTTCAGAGCCGGCTTCCTTTGCTGAAATCAGATATCCTAGTAATAAACAAGTCCGAGAGGCAGGGGCAAGCTCTCATTTCTTTCTGCTGACTAGTTTTTCTTCCTTAAAAAAAAAAAAAAAGTCTATCCTAGAACAGGATGCTTGTCCCAGAAACTTGAGCGCAGAGCTGTTGCCCTGGCCACCCCTGCCGGCCCCCAGCCCAGCAGAACCTTACCCTGGGCTCCTCCCAAACGCTGCACCGCTTAGAATGAAGGTGTCAGAGGGACTGGAGAGACACTGCCTGCTGGGGAGATGTGCCCCTTAAGCTGCCTTCATCTGCTGTTGGCTGTCAGAAATGGGAAAGCTGGCTGGCGTGGTGGCGCACACCTGTGATCCCAGCACTCTGGAGGCTGAGGCAGGAGGATCGATGCATGTTCAGGAAAAGCCTGGGCTATAAAGTGAGCTCAAGGCCAGCCTCAACTGCACAGAGAAACCCTGTCTAAAAAAAAAAAAAAAAGGGGGGGGGATAGTGAACTTAGAAGTGTGTAGATCCAGCAGTCAGTGGGTTTTACTGTTCGTTTTTTGGGGTGCTGAAAATGGAACCCAGGGCCTTTTGTGCATGCTAGGCAGGTGCTGTACCATTGAGCTGTACCCCAGCCACCATGGGTTTTAGTGTTGAGTTCTCAGTTGGAAAAGCCAGACAGGGCAGATGTTGAGACAATCTGGACATCCTGATTGTTGGCGCTCACTGGCCCTTGTGTAGCACCCCTCCGGAGTTGGAGGAGACCCCCTTCTGGTCCTTGTCCAGTCTCCTATGAATGTATCTCCACATGTGGCCTGCTTCGAGGAGTGCCCTCCCCTGCTGTGCTGACATCTCCCCTTTCCCCCCCCCAAATTGGTTTTTAAGTGACTCTGCTGTCAGAAGATGCTAGTCTGTTTGTTTTTCCTCTGACACTATCTCTCCAGAGAGTTTCTGGTCAGGAGAATTATGTTGAGGCTGCAGATTGTGAGAGAATTGCGCCTAATGGGGAACAGACGGTCAAGACACCTTTCATGTCCAGCCAAGTTTCTTTTCCCTCCTCTTTCTCTCTCCCAACTTCTCATCTTCCCTTTTTGGCTTCAAAGTTGGCTCAGGGTTGTACTTGTTCCTTCAGGACATCTGCTGAATAAGGTCACACATTGATTATATTTTGGAGATTGGCAGCGTGGTCAAGTTCCCCTCTGAACGGGGGAGTCATGCTGCTCCTCAGAGGCTGGGTGGGGACAGACGCCAGCGTGCAGCTGGCACGGGGTGCTCCAGCTTGTGAGTGTGACCGGGGCTATCTGAGAAGCACTCCAGCGCCCAGAGAGGCATCTGCTTCCTGGATACCACAAAGCTTCCGAGCCTGAGCTCTCAGATGCATTTTAAATACAAGAAAGATGTCAAAAGTCCCTCTTTCCCTCCCCACCACCTGCCATTTCAGCTGATATGTATACATGCCAGACCTTTTCTCTTTTTTTTTGTACTGGGGATTGAACCTAGGGTGGGGAGGTCTGCCAATGAGCTACATTCCAGCCCCATCCCCTTTTTATTTTACTATTATTATTATTATTTTTGGCAGAACTGGGTATTGAACTCAGGTCCATGCACTTGCCAGGCAAGCGCTTATTCCACTGAGCCATCTCCCCGGCTCCCCCATCCCCTTTTTAGATAGGGGTTCTCTATGTAGTTTAGACTAGCATCAAACTTGTGATCCTTCTACCTCAGTCTCCTGAGTAGCTGGGATTACAGGTGCTGTAAATTTTGAGACAGCATTTCAATATTTAAATATGAGACAGGGTCTTGTGAAATTGCTCACTCTGTCTCAAACTTGGGACTCCCCTGTTTGAGCCTTCAGAATGGCTGGGGTAACAGGTATGAGTCCCTCTGCTGGCTTGTCCCAGACTTTATAAGGAATGTGAAGTGTTAGCTTCAAGTTTCCTCAGGATCTCAACATGATTACAAGACAGGAAATCAAGTTTTAAGGATTTTTTTTTTTTTTTTTTTTTTTTGGACCCGGGGATTGAACTCAGGTCCTTGAGCTTGCCAGGGAAGTGCTTATTCTATTGAGCCACCTCCCCAGCCCCCAAGTTTAAGGATCTTTTAAGTGGCTGCTTAGTCACACACTGCCCTAGTACATACTTACATACTATGGGCAGAAAAGAAAGAATGGGGCAGAAAAGAGAGCCTTCTTCTTTTGCCTTGTGGGTGTAGCTCAGTGGCAAAATACTTACCTAGCAAATGTAGGACCCCAGGTTCTATCCCCAGAATCCTAAAAACAATAAAAAAAAGTCCTTTTCTTCACCTAGGTACTCTCTGAGGGAGGGTGGATTTGGGAAGGTTTTGGAGGACAGTGGCTTGGATTCTTCTGCCCTTAGTCAGGAGGCTGATGTAACAACATCCAGCTGACTTTATGGTAAAGACAGGCACGGCTCCCAAGTCAGCCGTTTCCAACTGCACCATTGGTCCCCTGACCCCTGCAGCCCTTCAGAAACTGTCCTCCCTCCCTCCTCCGAAGCTTCAACAGGCAGCACTTTTTTTTTTCCCTGTGGGCGTCACTTGTTTTCCAAGGATGAGGATGGCTTGGGTTTGCCAAATGTCCCAGTCGACCTCGTTCCTCTGTGTCTGGCACAGCCCAGAGAGGCAGAGCTATGGGACAGCTCAAATCTGCAGGAGGGATGTACATGCCAGGGAGCTGGGAGGGCAGAAGGGAGGCTAATCCCATTCACCCTGCATAAAGTTCTCTTCTCCCTTCTTACCCTGCTGCTTGTGGTCTGTCTTACATTAAGATGTGGTGATTCTCAACTATTACAATAGACTAAGAAGGCACACTTCTTTCACAGTAGTACTGCTGTCTGAAGTGAAAGCTGCACACATAAGAATAGGCAGGTTTCTCAGAGTTGGGCTGGGCTGTGGCTTGGGCAGGGGGAATGTGTACCCAGCACATGAGGCCCTGGACCACTCAGCACAGCAAGAGAGCCCATACCAGCTTAGTGACCAGACTGAAGCCTAGAGTCAGTCCTGAAGTTATTTCTTGCCCTGTTACCAGCTTGTTCTGAGTTCAGAAAATGTCCCAGTGTCCTGGTCCCAAAGATATTCAGCCAAATATCCTAAACTTCTCAACCAGCTGTCATGAGATTAAAATGGAAGAATACACTGGAATGTACTTACAGGTCTCCAAGACAAACTTGTGAGTGTTAAAAAGGGGGCAGGGCATAATATGAGACAGAGGTCGCTTTAAGGACTGTGGTCCCTCCATGTCCGTAGCTAGTGGGTTTATGCTCACCAGAAAAAGAAAGAAGAGAAAGAGAAAGAAAAGTAACAGAATCTACGAGGGACTTTCCAAGAGACAGAGCCTGATGGATCGTTTGGGGAGGATGTCCAAGCCTGAGAAGGTCTCAGGGCAGATGAGGGAGGACCCAGGCCATAAGGAAAGGAGGCATGGCCACATGGTGGGGCTCACCCTGGACAAATTTCTGAAAACCTGCCTGGATGCTATCACTGCTTTGATGAAAAACAGAGCAACCCACAGGCTGGCTGTTGTGTGTACATGACAAGACAATGTCACAGGCGAGGCATGGTGCTCATAACTGTCATACTGCCTACTTTTGAGCCTGAGACAGAATGATCACAAGCTTGAGTCCAGCCTGGGCAAGCTGTGAGACCCTGTCTCAACATTAAAACAAAATATAATAAAAAACAAAGAGTGTCCCAACTTGGCTGGGTTTTCCCCTTACAGGATCCTTTCCTTCGTGGATATGTTGGAGAGACCTCCTTTCTTCCCGATCCGGGTTTGATTCAGCTTCCTGGCTCATCTCATCCTGCATTTAATCTCCAGATACAGGCTCGAGACATTTTTAGGGCTCAGATGATCTCATTTCTCCTGAGGGTTCCATAGTTCCCCCTCAGACCCTTAGCCAAGGAAATGAGGCAGTTGAGAGCACCTTGTGCTTCTGCCCAGCAGTTGTCACTTGGGGAGCTGCTTCCTGCCTGGCCTCTATTCCTGCCTGTAAGAAGCTAGCATGGCTGACTGAGCAGAAGGGCCTCTGAGGGTGAGATGCCCATTGCGGGCCCAGCACCTGCCCTCAGGTTAGCTGAGGTTGCCACCTAGAGGCAACTCGAGACTTCCCTGAGACAAGACAGAGCCTCTTCATTTTGGTAATTGCTGAAACATAAAGATTTTATTTTCTTGCCGGAGAAGTTCAGAATCCTCTTCCATCCAGAGTATGGCTTTGGCTATGTGGCCCAAGGGGAGCCCTGACCTAACACTGGGCTGGAGGACACAGGCACTGATCACTGAAACCTGTTCTGGTTCTGATGCTGTCCTGCTCATTCACTACACCAGAGCATAGAAAATAAATACTTTAATTGCTTTGTAATTGGCACAGATGGTATAATTCAAACTCACATTTTATTTAATAGACTCTGAAATATCACACTATAGCTCTGAAACAGGAATCATAATGGCGTTCAGTTCTACAAAATTACATTCAGTAGCAGCATCATGTCTCAAAGTTATTTCAGAAAATTAAAGACTGGGGCTTGAATAAGAGGAAAAACTATCTAGAAAACAAACTTACACAGAAGCGGTCATGACTTGGAGAATTGTGCTTTCTGATTTTTGAAGATCTTGCTATTTTATTGACAAATAATCAAAAAGAGCTATGAAGCTGTGGTTTATAAAAAGCTTGGGGGCTGTGAATGGGCCTCCAGGGTGCTCCTCAGCCATTCTGGCAGGGCAAGGCCTTGCTGAAACCACAAGGCTCTCGTTTCTGAGGGATGACATTTCACTGGCCTCTGCTAAAAAATCACCATGAAGGGAGCTTATGGGGGAGGAAACACCACATCATTAAATTCCCATCATGGTAAGTCCCCCAGTGAAAAGTTCCAAGTCTCATCTCTTAAGGAGGATGTCAGAAAGGCCAAAGTCCTAGTTAGAAATAGTTACCCCTAAAATTTCAAAGTCACAGTGGTCAGTGACACAAACTGCCGATAGTAACAATTGTGTGCAGAGCTGTCATTTATGTCACGGCTGGAAGTCATGGCTGGAACACTTTCCATGTGTTCTGGGGGACAGAACCACCTTGCCCCAGAGCAGCGCAAGTGACCATCATTGTGGGGAATTTCCTACCAGAGTGGGAATGACCAAAGGGAAAGATTATAGACACCAGCAACCCACACTGCAACCTGGGAAAGGTATTCATGAATCCGTTAGTGCTCCTGGGCTAAGTTCAATATGGGACTCAATTTCTGGCTACTGACTTGGCATCTGTTTCTACAGAAGAGTCTGGATCCTCAAACTTGATCCAAAGTCACTATCTGAAGCAGGATTCCAATGTCAGAGACTATGCACAGGTGGCCTCAACTGACACCTGGGACTGTGCACAGCTGTCCAGGTCACAAGAGGGCACAGCTGGGCAGTAAAGTAGGGGTTGTCACAATGAACACTTCAGCCATGCATAGCCAGTTGCCTCAGCCATCCTCGGCTCAATGCACCTGTGCCGACTCCGCTGGGGTCTTCAGTTCTGTTGTGGTTTCATCTAGGACAGGTTTCTTAGAGTAGTTCCGCTCTCCAAAAATGGTGGTCCCTACCCGGACGTTTGTTGACCCAACTTCAATCTACAGGCAAGGGGAGAAAGTATCAAGAACTGAGTTTACTTTTACTTCTTACTCTCCAAGGACAGGGTTTAGCACTGTGAGACACAGTCAGTGGGCTCTCTGGAAGCATCTATGAAGAACAAGAGCAAACCAGCTGAAGATAGTTGTGGGGCAGTGGTTTCCAAAAAAAAGGAAGCCAGGCTGGACCATAATAAGGCCTTGTCTCAAAAAACAAACAAAGGGCCGGGGAGATGGCTCAGTGGAATAAGTGCTTCCCTGGCAAGTGCAAGGGCCTGAGTTCAATTCCAGGTTCTGCAAACAAACAAACAAAAACAAAACAAAACAAAAACAAAAATAAAAAACCCAAGCAAATAAAAAGTTAACCATGCTTTGATTCTGGTGCTTTATGGAGTTCTTTTCTACTCTAGGAAGTCAGGCACGTGAGCTGCCAACAAGCCCTGCTGCCCATTTACACACAGAACTGCTGTATTCCTAGTGAGTCTGTGTCTAGCCATGTCACTGTCACAGTCATGCCTTGGCATTTATGCAACCAAATGCCTTCACAGATTACAGCTTAGTTTCTTGTTCTTTATCTTTATTTTTTTACTGTTTATTTATTTATTCAGGGAAGGGTCTACAGAGTGTTCAGGGTCTCACTACTATATCAGATTGGTAGTGATCCACCTGTTTACAACCTCCCAAGAGCTGGGATTACAGGCGCGTGTCACTATGCCTAGTCTTAATTGCCTTCTCAGCATGCCCCAGGGGTGGGCTGGCATGGCAGGCCCGGGATCGAGCCCCAGGCCCCTGCTTGTTTTTTATCTTTAGTTAGGGAACTAAACCTAGGGCCTACCACATACTAGGAGTATGTTTTGCTGAGCCACACCCCCAGATAATAGTTTATTTTCTTATTTTCTGTTAGATAACACTTAGGTGTCAAGGGCCCACCAGATAGCTCATCATATTAAAGTGTCTGCTTAGGCAGATGCAGGCATGGGATCTGATCCCTGCTGTGCCTTGCTGGCCCCGCCCCTGGGGCACACTGAGCAAGTGATTGAGACTGGGCATGGTGGCGCACGCCTGTAATCCCACAGCTTGGGAGGCTGAAAACAGGAGGATGATTATGAGTTCAATCTGTGTTGTGAGACCCAGTAGACCCAGTACTAAATACATAAACAACACCAACACTGACAACAACACTTAGGTATCAGACCTGGCAGGGTGCACATCTGTAATCCTAGCAGTTGGAGGCTGAGGCAGAAGGATCAGCATGAGTTCAAGGCCAACCTGCACTACACAAGCAAGTTCAAGGTCAGCTGGCGCTACACAGGGAGACCATGACTCAAAAAATAAAAAAGAAAACAAAAATGTCAGGCTATCATTTCTATAAATTTTATTTCAAAAAAAAGAGCCTGAGAAGGGGAAAAATGTCAGAATAGAGAACCATTGTGACTAGGATCCCTTATTGTTCTCTCTAATGAGCATTGTCAAAGATTCTCCACCAAAAACTTACTCCTCCCAGCTTTAGTGGTGTACACCTGTGCTAGTTACTTTTTATTTTTTTGAAGACCAGGTTTCACTTAGTCCAGGTTGGCCTAAACTCAAGACTTCTACTTCAGCTTCCCTAGTGCTAGGATTACAAGTGTGTGCCTCCACCCTTGGCTAATTCCAGCTATTTAGGAGGATCATGTGTCTGAGGCCAACGTGGGCAACTAAGGGGGACCCCCGTCTCTGACAAAATCAAGGAATCCCCCCAAAAGCCTGTACCTGCTGCAGCCTTTTGGACCCCACCTTGCGGAGGGACACTTACAGCATGCTGGAAGTCCCCGGACATGCCCATGCTCAGCTCCACCTGCTCGGCAGGGATACGCAGCTTTTCACACAGCTCTTCCCGCAGGGACCGCAGCATCTGAAAGGAAGACAAGGGTGACAGCATCTGTGTTTTTCCCTGCCTTCTTACCTGACTGGAAGCAGTCAGATATGCAGACCTCTGATGCACAGTACATGTTCCTCATGATTCAGAGGCCTGTTACGGTTGCCAGAGGACACTACAAGAGTTTTTTAGTAAAGTACTTAACTCTCATAAAAACTATCAGGACTGGGTTTGGCCTGGTGGTAAACAGCTTGCCTACTGTGCACACACCCCTGGGTTCGAACCACAACACCAGAAATGAAACAAAACACAACAAAACTCAGTCATTAGAGAAGGTAAAAGAATTTGTCGTTCTGAAAAATTTTCTTAGCTGAGTACAAACTGAACTGAAAAAGATCTGTCAAGGAAACGATTTTCCCCTTTCCTCATGAGAAGGGGTCAGAAGAGGGCTTTCACACCAGACAGGCAAGCTCTGCGCTGGTTCTGAAGTAAGTGTAGTGTATAACCCTACAACAGTATCGCTGGAATGCCGCTTGCTTTCTCCTGTGGTGCTGGACACATGAGCCCAGCAGGCAATTGCCTCTTAAGCTCCGAGACGCTTCTTTTGCACATGAACAATGCACCTCCCGCTCGCCTCCACCACATCCACAGTACCTGGAAGTCTGGATTTGGTCCTTGACTGAGATCGTGGCCGAAGCTTCCTATGGTCATCAGCCCCACGAACTCCAGACTGGGGCACTTGGCGTTCAGGTGTTCCACCAGGGCTAGCATTTCTGACGGTGCAAGGCCATGTTTACCTTCATAAAAGAAACAGAGATGGGTATGCTGAAGAGTCTTCGATGGCCAGAGGAGGGTCTGTGCCACCTCTTCCTATAACAGTGGAGGAACTCTCAGATGAAGCCCTTGGGAAGAGATATCCTCACATCTGAAGGAAGAGTAACTTTCTCAGGTCTTCTCTGGAAGCATGCCTTCTGATCAGGTTCTAAATTCCAGTCTCAGCAACAGGAAAGCAGAGTAATGCACCCCTTCAGATAAGATTTACTATTTTGCAGTGCTGGGGACTGAACCCAGAGCCTCAGGCAGGCTAGGTAAGTGCTTTACCACAGAGCCCTAGCCCCAGCCCCCTCTAGCTCATATTTTATTTTATTTTTTTGTTTTTTTGAGACAGTATCTCACCAATTCAGGCTAGGCTTGAACTCACTATGTAGCCCAGGCTGGCCATGAATTCATGGCAATCTTCCTGCCTCAGCCTCTGAAGTGCTGGGATTACAGGCATGAATATTTTAGGATTTTAGATGAAAAGAGCTGGAGGAGAGGGAAAAGAAAAATCCTTACACTTTTTGGGACCCCATGGAATATTCAGTGTCAAAATCCCAGATGAAACAGAGAACCCTTTTCCTAAATCTGATTAATTTTATTAATTTTATATATTAAATAAATACATCTGACTATACATTCACAAGCTTTAACTGAACTTGTTAATAAGGGGCAGGGGGCGGGGGATCCGCAGTGAGGGACCATTTGTTATGTAGTTATATGGATCATGGGTTCTGTCCAACTCCTATTTATCAAATGGAGGTGGCCAAGAGCATGCACTTCAATTGTTAATTAGAGCAAATTATAGCTAGTTACAAAGAAATGATGAAATATAGATGACTAGAGTCAGTTTCAGGTTCACCTGCACTAACAGTGCAATGAGCTACAGCCAAGATACACATACAGAGTAGTGTCAGTAACTGGAGTCAGGGCCTCTAAGGGTTTTTCCTTTAATATAACTCTATGACAATGGTGGTGAACTTATGGCATGAGTGCTGCAGCAGGCTGTCTGTATCCCTGAAAGCTCTAAAAGATTTGCCATCACTGCTTTATGAAGTTAAGGAGCATAACACAGTCCAGTAGATTCATGCCGTACTTTTTTTTTTTTGGTGGTACTGGGGATTGAACTCAGGACCTTGCGCTTGCCAGGCAAGTGCTTATTCTACTAAGACATCTCCTGGCCATGCCTTACTTTTGAACTATAAATTTTTACTTCAGCGTAGCAGTAGCTGGCTGTGCATCTCAGTACCTTTCCCTGAGGGATACAGGAAGTGATCTATGTATTTACCCACTTGGTATGATAAACAGCAAGGTGTGTACATGTGTGCAGAAGTGGCAACGTGGGATCTTTTTCTTTTTGGCGGAACTGGGGATTGAACTCAGGCCCTTGCGCTTGCTGGGGAAGTGCTTAGTCCACTGAGCCAACTCCCCAGCCCTTGGCAATGTGGGATTTTTTTACCCACATTATGATACATCTAACTGGTTGTGTATATGCTTATCTGAGCATCACAGAGTAATCAGAGACCCACATCCTCTTTGTTTGAAAAAAGGTTTTGATTTTTCTGATAGAAATAGCCCAATTCAGTAGGATGGCACATGAAAAACCAGATTTGCAAATTTTAGAAGTCAAAAGTCGGGGGCCCTGCCCATTAGCTCAGTTGTTTAAGTGACTGCTTAAACAAAGTAAAAATGATGCTCTGGTTTGATCCCCAGATCCTCAAGCCTTACCAGATCTGCCCTGAAGGCATCCTGAGCCAGCCAAAAAACCCCCAAAAAAACCACACTTAAGAAGTCAAAAGTGAATCATCAGATTACTCATGTATGGATGATGAAGATGATCCATGATGAGAAAATGCATGATTTCATACTAGAAAGTAGTGTGGGTGGATGACCATGTGTCTGTGCTTTTATGACAACATTAATGCTATGCTCCACCTTAAGTACTCTTATTAGCACCATTCTAAAGATGGGGACACTGAGGCCCAGGGACACTTCCTGGATCATACACCTATGAATGCTGACCTGGAGACTGAACCCATTTCCAGGGCCTACCTGGAAAACAGATGCCTGTATGCCAATACTGTGTTCCTTCATGCTAAGCTTTGGTAAGTACTCATGCAAATACCTGATCTTTATAACTTGTTTTTCAGTTGCATTCTAGGCAAGTGCTCTGCCACTGAGCTACACTTCCAGCTCAAACGTTTACTCTTGACAGAATGCTATCAAGCAAGCTATGTAGGGTTCTGTGCTCCCAGCTTTGCCTGTACTGATACACTCAATCCTTGCCACCCCTCTGAAGTAGGTACTACTGTGATGCTACTGCCAGGCCAAGATAGTGAGACGGAAACAGAAAGCTAGAAGTGACAGAGCACAAGCCCACAGTCTATCTGCTTTCAAAGGCAAAGCTCTTTTCCACACTATCCTATTACCCCAAGCCTCGTACCACAGTCTCTGAATAGGGCTTTCAATGGTCTTTCTTCTGTTCTCTCCCACTGTGATACTAATATTTTAAGACCCAAGCTATATTATACATGTGATTCTATAGTTCCTTTTGGGAATGATGGTGACCTTTGGAGATTTTTAGAAAATCAAAGTTATACTCCTTTGTTGGTTCCTCTTCTTCCCAAAACTTGGACTTAACATCATGATATACACTAAGATATAGTACCACGATGTAGCGACTAAGACATAAATAATATCATGATGTATTTACTAAGACATGACATCAGGATGTATTAGTGACTTGAATGTGGACTGGCTTGTGTGCTGTTGCACTTACAGATCACACACAATAGCTGACAAAGGCTTCTATTCATGACCTCACCTGTGAGACGTTCCCTTGCCCTTCTTGCTGCACTGCAGCCACCCAAAGGGAAGGAAAATCTACAGTCTAGGTCTGGTCATCCAGAGCAGACCATCACTTACTCTCCTCTCCACTGGTGTTGATCTGGACCATAACCTTTAACCTTTCAGGAGAACCTTTTTTCTGCCATGAACTGTTGACTTTGTCTGCCAACTTCACAGAGTCCACTGTTTCCAGCATGAAGAGGTTGGGGACAGCTACAAAAAGAAAGAGGTGAAGTATTACTCTTCGTTTCCCTTCTGGCAGCAGATACACTGCAGTAAGTCTTCAACTTGCTAGAGGGAAAATTATCGCAGGAAAAGAAAAAGAGTTCAAGCTTAGTTCTGCTAAGAAGGCAAACATGAGTTTTACTGGCGTGAGTTCAGACATTAATAGTACTTGTCCTATCAGCAAAGATGAGCAAAGAAAGGGCAACACAGACATGATGTGTACAGAGGCTTCACGAAGCTGGTACATGGCAAGGTTTTGCATAGCAGGCCTGCCCGATGATATCTCAGTTCCAGCCAAGAGAAACAGGTCAAGGTGGCACTGACACACTGGAAACCAGAGTGCTACCTGATGTGACACTGCCGTGGCCTTAACCTCTTTGGGGTGGGGGTGTTCTCATGTGACCGGGACCCAACACTGAAACCTAAGTGAGACACTGAAGTCCTCAAAGCCATCTTCTTTTTCACAGACACATGTGCGAGGGAGTATCAGCCTTGCCTCAACAGTGAGCAAGGCATCACCCAGTCCATGGCCCCTTCTATGCAATGCTGATATCTTCCAGGCAGGAGGCTTCCTATGTTTTTTATTTGTGGTGCTGGGGGTGGAACCCAGGGCCTCGTGCAGACTGGGCAAGTGCTTGGTTCATATATATATATTGATATATATTGGTACGGGGGACTGAACCCAGGGCCTTTGTACTGAGTTACATCTCTAGCCCTTTTCAAATTATTGAGACATTTACTCGTTTAAGGTCTCATTTATTCGTTAAGCTGCCTAGGTTGGGCTTGAATTTGTGATCTTTCTGCCTCAGCCTCCAAGAGTGTTGGGATTACAAGTGCATGCTACCACAGCCAGTTTCCCTGGGACTTCAAAACACTATACAGTGTTCCACATGGCAAATGATGATTTACTTATCTACTCCCACCTTTGTAAATTATTTATTTATTTATTTGGTATAGGGTCTTGCTATGCAGCTTGGACTTGTAGTGATCCTCCTGTCTCAGCATCCTCAATGCCAGGATTATAGGTGTGCACCACACTCCTGGTTTCTGCGCCTGGCACGGCACCCTATACCAGGGATCGAACCTAGGGCTTTGCACTTGCCAGGCAGGCGCTTAGCCTGCTGAGCTATATCCCCATCTCCCTATTCTCCTTTTACTCACTATTATTTGCAGTACTGGGGATTTGATCTAGGAACCTGATAGTGCTCTGCTACTGAGCTATGTATCACCATTCTTGTTTTTATTTTAACACAGACTCTTTCTAAATTGCCCAGGGTGGAACTGAACTCTTGCCCTGCCTCAGCTCTCTAAGTATCTGGGGTTACAAGTGTGAGCCACTGTACCCAGCTTCTATTCCTCTGCGAAGGACATGAAATTACACTATTTCCCTTCTTCTAGAGGCAGGGTCTTGCTGCACTGCCAGGGCTGTTCTCAGACTCCTGCGCTTCAGTGATCCTCCAATATCAACCTCCCAAGTGCTGGAACTGCAGGAACATGCTGGCACACCTGGCTTAGACTGGTTCCTGTTTTGCTTTTTAATTACAAAACAGAGTTTAGGCATAGAATTCTGTGCATATATATATATGAATATTTCTGTAGAAAATGAATTCTAGAATTGCAATTATTACCCGAGTAGAAAATACAATTTAAGTGGCGTTACATATTACCAGTGTGTCATCCAGGTGACCCTAACTACCACTTTAGACTCTCAGGCTCAGGTACTCTGTCTCATTTACTTTTCCCTCCTTGCTGGGACAAACACCCAACACCCAAAATGAAGGAAGGAAAGGTTTATTTAGCTGACAGTTACTGAAGGTTTCAGTCCATACTCAGATAGCTCCAAGGCAGAGGGCAGTAGTTCATGGCTGTGGCAAAGAGCAGAAGAGCATAGGGAGGGGCCGCAGCTCCAGCAGCTAGCTAGCCTCTCTCCCATCCTTGCACTGTACTGCAAATTACCTGCCCAGGGTAGGTGCAGCATCCACACCCAAAGTTATCAATTACAAACTCCAGAAGCCACCTCATGGCTGCCTGAGGCTTTGAGGGGACACAAACTAGACATAAACCATAACATACTCAAAACAGTGGGCCAAAAAAAGGGGCCAGGGAGATGGCTCAGTGGAATAAGCACTTCCGTGGCAAACGCAAGGGCCTGAGTTCAATCCCCGGTTCTAGAAGCCTTTGCTACTCTTTAAAAATCTGATAAGTGAGCTGTAGGACCTATTATTTTGTGATTAAGGCTGAATATTATTCATTTGATTAATGAACTTTTATTTTTTCTTTATACATTGCCTGTTCAAAAAAAATTGCCTGTTCTTACGTTTTTGTTTACCTTTTTCTTATAAATAAAAAAAAGGGGCTGGGGACACAACTCAGTGACATAAGTGCTTGCCTGGCAGGAAAAAAAAAAGGTTTTTTTTTTTTTTCCCCCCTGTAATACTGAAGGTCAAGGATGTTATACCACAGAAGTATAACCCAGCCCTTTTTATATTTTATTGTTGACACAGGGTCTTGCTAAATTGCCCAGGTGGCCTTAAATTTGTAATCCTTCATAGTGCTGGGATTATAGGCATGCACCATCATGGCCAATTTACTTTCTATGTACTGTGGACATGAACTTCTTTCCCCCTTTAATTTTTTTCCCACCTTTAAAAAATACTGAGGCTGAGGAACAGCTCAGTGGCAAAAATGCCTGTCTGCCATGCACAAGGTCCTGAGTTTGATCCCTGGTAGTAAAAATAAATAAATAATATTGTTTTTTAAAAAAAATATTGTTCTTTTCCAAGTCCACAATTTCCTCTTGCTTCAATATTCAGACAATTTTTTGTGTAATCAAATCTGAGAATTATTTCTTATATGGTTTTCAAATTTTACATATTGTTTAGAAAGACCTTTCCCTAAATCTAAGAAAATAGAAATACTTTATCGTAATATTCTTATGGATTTGATTTTTTTTTTTTTTTAATTTTCAAGTTAAGACCCTTTGGCTGGTTGAGGGATATAGCTCAGTGGCACAGTTGCCTATCTGGAAAGCACAAGGTCCTGGGTTTGATTCCTGGAATAAAAAACAAAACAAAACAAAACAAAAAACCAACGAAGAAAAAAAAAAAACAAAAACAATTCTTTAGCTGGATCCATGGAATACCAGTTACAGTTCTCTTGTTTCCCTTGCTTTAGTAGTGGAGAATAATTAACACTAAACCATGTTCTGCTCTGGTCAAACTAATTTTAAAAGCAAGACCTACAATGATCAAACTGTTCCCAAAATACTATGTTCCAGGACAAAGAGCAAAGATACAAGAATACAAATTAGCTAGCATTCAACCAGGTAAAATTCATAACACCTAGCCATTCAAACAAAAATTATCAGGTATGCAAAGTGGCAGTAAAATATGATATATAGGACAACTCTTTTTTTTTTTCCTTTTGAGTAGGCTCTTGCTGTGCTGTTCAGGCTGGCCTTGAGTTCACTGTGTAGCCCTGGCCAGTCTCAGACTCACAGTGATCTTCCTGGTTCAACCTCCCAAGTTCTGGGATTACAGGAGTGCCCCACCACATCTGGCTCAATATGAGGTATGGTAAGGCGTTAAATCAACCAAGTGAAACTAATTAAGAACTGACCAAAAAATGAACAAATTAGCAAATAAGGAGCTTAAAAGTTATAACTGTGTTCCTTATATTAAAAAAAGAGACACAGGAAATAAGGAAAAAGACCAAATTGAACTTCTAGCTTAAAGACTACCATGTATGAGATGACAAGTCCAATGACAGGATTAATAGCAAATTACACACGGCCACATAAAGAATTAAATTAACCTGAAGAAATTACCTAAAACAACACACAGGAAAACATTATAGCAATGAAGAGTATCAGAGAACAGTAGGCCACTTCAAGCAGCCTAACAGGAAACTGGAGCAGTGAGGAAAACAGGAAGAAAGGAGCAAACAGGTAGAAAAAGTTCCAATAATTTTCTTGAAGAAATTCAACAAACTCCAAGTATAAGAAATGTGAAGAAAATTACACTAAAGCACACAATAATTAAATTGTTGAAAACTAGTGATAACGGGGAAATCTTAAAACTAGCCACAGGGAGGGAACATGTTCTATTCAGAGGAACAAAGTGAAGTACAACATCAGAGTCCTCATTGTAATACAGCAAGTAAAGACTTCGTGGAATAACATTTTTTTGGTCTGTTTTGAGAGGATCTTGCTGTATGTAGTCCAGGCTGGCCTTGAACTTGTGACCATCTGGCCTCAGTCCTAGGAATGCCATGATTATAGGCATGCACTAACAAACATCTTTAAGTACTAAAAGAAAAAAAAAATAGTTAATCTAGAATTCTACAGTTAGAAAACAATATTTTTTAAATTCAAAGGTGAAGATGTAAGAAAATTTATGGGAAGCCAGGTGTGGTGGCACATGCCTATAATTCCTGCACTCTGGGAAGCTGAGGCAGGAGCATTGCAAATGTGAGCCCAGCCTGAGAAACTAAGGGAGACCTTGTCTCAAAGTAAAAAAGAACTGGGGATGTTGCTCAATTCCAAAGCCCTGGGTTCCCTCCCCAAGAACACACACAGTCACAGACACTCAACTCCACCTTTTCTTTATACTATGCACAAAAATGAACTCAAATGGTCCTAATGGTGAGAGCTAACTCATAGAAGAAAATGTAGAAGTGAATAAATCTTCATGCTCTTGGATTAAGCAATGATTTCTTAAGAAGACGTGATACCAGACTGAAGGTAAGCTACAAAAGAACAAGCCAGATAAACTGGAAGGAAAAATTACGTAGCTTCAAGAAAGTAGAAAGATAACCCAGAGAAAAGAGATTTATAAATAATGTATCTCAGATCAGGTGTGGTGGCACATGCCTGAACCCTAGTACTAGGGAAGCTGAGGCAAGAGGATCTTTGCATGTTAGAGACAAGCCTGGGCTACAAAGTGAGCTCAAGGCCAGCCTAAACTGCATAGTGAGACCCTGTCCCAAAA